CTCTCCTCGGGAGTAGCTGTGGTGCGATGGCCTCTCTGGCGCTCGACAACGTTACACATGCTGATTCACTGAATAATATGGATCTAATCTTGCGCTGCATTTTATTACTGATTAGATTTTCTGAAAATGTGCTCAGCTCTGTCTCAGCTGCACGGCAGCTCGTTCCTCTGTCCTACTCTGTTAAAGAAAAGGAGAAGCAGGAAGAACAGCACTGAGAGCTGTACAGTGTTTAAGATCAGTCGGATTCCCAGTGCGTCCACCACTGCTGAAAGATACTGTGCAAACAAACATATAGATCTTTAGTTTGCAGTGGTATGTAGAGAAATCACCTCATAATTAACCATTTCTCTCCCCTAGTGCCACAAGGTTTAAGAGTCATTTGACTTTTTTAGTATTCGGTGTTGTTGCACCTTCCAGGTACTAAAAGTTGAGTAGCTTTATCAAACTGCAGCAATGAACGTCTCCAAAGTGCACAGGCAGCAGGAACCAGGAGAAGTATCCACAGTGCTAACGAGCATTGGGATGAAGGGAAGTGTCGAGGGCAACGAGTCGAGTATAGAGATTTGTTTGAGTGTTGAGTGTCGGCATCTTCTTGATGACTTTGCTACGACTGTGCACCCGCTACAGTGCTCAGGATTTGGAGCTGTGCGGCGGCTGCCACTGTTTTATACAGATTTGAGTGTTTGTATCATTGGACGGTGTCGGCAGCAGCGAGAACAACATATAACTACATGTATCAGTCACAGTTAGTCACCTGTTGAACTAAAGCAACCAAAACTTTGTTACCCAGTTCTCAGGTGGGTTTTCAACGCTGTTTAAGGTTGTAATCCTTTCATTAACATGGCTGGCAGCTAAGAGACGAGTAGGTCGGAGAAGGTGAGAGCTTTTGTCAGTATCAGACTATAGGGAATAAGGATATGACTACTTCCTGGAGGCAGTATGTAGAGTAAAGATTAGTTTGATCATTTTTTGACCAGCACTGGTCAGAAAACGTGACAGTCATGCTGGAGGTGCAGACTTTGTCCTCACAGCTCGTAACCGATCATCCGTGAGAGGAAAACAGAAACAAGACTAAGAGTTTAAGTCATGTGTCACGTGAGGTGCTTAGTCACAGTGGCGTTTTACACTAAATGCTAATGTTTGCATTCTAACGTGCTCAAAATGACAATGCTAATACGCTCATCATCTTTACTGTGGTCACCATCGTAGTTTACCCTGCAGCTTTAACATGCTAACATTTGCTAATTAGCACTGAACACAAAGTGCAGCAGAGGCTGATGGGAATGTCATTAGTCAGATATTTGGGCATAAACCACAGATGGACAGATGGAAAGTCGGGATTCAGTAGGATTCATCCTCTGGAGAATGTGATTGTCTGTGCTAAATTACACCAGATAGACATCCATAAAGCCTTAATGCTAGCATGGCTAATAAGGAGAGACGGCTTTTTTGGGAGAACTGAAGCCACGACTCGCGAGGAGATGACAAAATGTGGACTTTAACTACCGCAGCAGTAATGAGTGTAATAAAATATTAACATTTCAATATGCAGACAATGTGAAATAGTGAGAAATGGCCTCAAGATGGATCCAGAAGGAAATAACTGTGAGTGAGTGAAGAAGCAGACGGCGATAGCAGTGGCGGCGGCGGCGGCGGCGGAAGCGGCTCAGCCATTAGCAGCTTCATCATCACATTTACTCTGATCTCACACAACGGTAACATTAAGCCTTTTAATCCCGCCAATAATCAGACCTGCCTCCATATTTCATTAGCTGAGAGGTTTCTCCACAGCGGTAGTTGGGTGTGTGAGTAACCTCTCCCCGACCCCACAGGATGGATTCTGTAGGGAGGCAACAGCAGTGACGCGATCTCCATTACAAAGATTTGTGTCCTCAGTGGGCAAAAGTGGCTGCCTGGCCCCAGGAGAGTATTACTGCTGCTGCTGAGTGAAAACCTCGTATTAACAAAAATATTTAAGTCTTGGTGGTGTGATTATGAGTCCAGTAATGAGTGCACACATAGAGAACGTCTTTAACGATATTATACTCACAGGTTGTTTGAAGGAAAAAACCTGTTCTCCAACACTTTACATCTTGTTGATTGAAACCTTTTTGACCAGGAATAGTTAGATAACAAACATTACACTTAACTTTACCTTTTGGCACAAAACACAACAACTATTGGACTTTCTGGGTGCACAAATGAGAGGTCGTATATTCTCCTAAAGCGTCCACACGCTGAGATCTGTGCACTCTGTTTTATTCCCGGCTGATAGAGAATGAGAGAGCACGTCACTGTAATAGATATTCCATTAATTAACACTGATGCAAAACACAGGACCTGACACTCAAGGGTGTTAAACTCTTATGATGTGTATGGATTAGAAACACGAAAATGAAAGAATAAAAATGTATAAGACAAACGTGTTAATATATAGAATTCACTAGTACTGATATTCTACACAGGAAGTCGTGTGACAACAATTTAAACTGTGACTTTGTGAAGCTGCAGCTGATAGAAAATTTAGAAAAATATTTGTCTTTGGTTGTTTCACCACGTCCAGTAATTAATTTTAGTTATTTACAGACCTGAACAGCAGCTTCATTTTATATTCTATTATTTAGTCTCCACACTGACATCGGAACGTATACTTTAATTTCTCTTTCTCAGTATAAACACAATAATGAAAACTGTTTGAATTAGCATGAAGTATAGTATTGGGACACAGCAAAGAGTTTTTGGTTATTAAAAGAAAAATGTGAAAACTTTAATCCGCTTGTTTCTCAGTGTCTCACTCAGGACACGAGGTCGTTGTCGCTGTGTTTACTTTGGTACAGCTGATTCGGCCATGTTGTTAGCGTGACATGTCTGTGAGCGGCAGGCAGCACCTGTCCTGTGTGTTTGGTCAGTGTCTGTGTGTGTGTGTGTGTGTGTGTGTGTGTTTGTTCAGTGATAAATGAGGCTGGTAATGACACTTTAACAATGGGCGCATTAGTGTTACAGCAGGTTTCACATCAACAGCCTCCAGCTACGGCAGACTGCTCTGAAAGCCGATGACACCTGAACGCAGCACCGGCGTCTCTTTCTCTACTTTCTTTTGATCCATATTCTAAACCAGATGAAAATCTCCCGAATGAAAATCTGAACACCTCGTTGATTTAACCAAGATTTAGAAAACTAACTGGTGTGTTAACATCAACAACTACAGCTCCCATGAGGCTTTGACAGAGTGGTGTCTGTCCTGTGTGCGTGTCCGCCTGAGCCATGTTTGTTTATAATTAGAAGAGCTCACTGGCCCTAATTAGTATGAACACCACGAGGAATCTTGTTTCCTAATGACGGGTGGACTCGCTGCTTTTCTTCACGTTCAGACAGGAGACAAGTTAAAGGGAGAGTTCAAAGTTTATAGGGAATCGTGAACTGGAAGGAAACAGCTCTGTCCGAAGTTCAAAATGAAAACTACCAACAGCTTCAAAGGTCTCTAATTAACAAATTAATTATGCAGTTTCCTTTAAAAAAAAAAAAAAAAAAGGCCTTGAGAGGGTTTTAAATGAGGAGGTTCAGACTGAAAGGTGAACTATCATCGGGTCAGAAAACATGGAAACTTAAATCCTTTGATCAAAGGTTTATTTTCAATCCCTAAAGATTTGCATTTGTGAACATGAAGGAAGAAGAACACACCTGGGCTGATGAACCTGAGAGGAAACAAATTAAAGAGATCAAAGATTAAATTTAAACTTAACGCAATAAATCAAAGTAATCTCATGTGTCCTTAAAGAAATAAAGACAGATAAAGTTCTCAGAGACCAACATGGACCGAGTGTAAGAACTAAAGAGTTACATCAACGTCCTTTAGCAGAACTGCTGCCTCATGCCAAAGGGAAAAAAAGAAAAAGAATGAATGAGCGGGAGTGAAGTCTTTAAATAACCTTGGAGTGACCAGGTGAACTCAATCAGGTAAAAGAGGGAGGGGTGGTAAGGGTGAAAACAAGAGCCAATCAGTGATGAGGAAAGGAAAGGAAGTGAGGCAGGTGGAAACCGAAGAGGAAAAAAATAATAAAACCGGGATCTTTTTAAAAAGTCTTCAGTTTAATTGAGAGAACTAACTGTCTCTTGCTGCTGTGGGCGGTGAAGTTATAAACTGTTGTTACATCTTTAAAGTGGAGTTTCAGGTTAGCATCTTTTTCATCAGGTGATCCACCCGTCCACTTACATCATTGTATTATTAGGAATTATATTTATTTACTGCTGGAAAGAAGTGAAAACATACAACAGAACATGTGCCTTCTGGTTTTCCATCGTACTTTCATATTACTGTGAAAAAGATATAACATTGGAGTCTGTGTGGTATCTTAAAAATTCTTTAGTGCAACTTGTTGAACCTGAAGAAACCTGAAACAAACTGTGTTTCATTTGTTTCAGAAAAGTAAAAATGACAGTTTTAACACGCGGCTGTTGTTACTTTTTGGACGTAAAGTGCACCTGAACAGGAATATCTTCAGCTTTATTGGATTTTCAGACACATCTGGGCATTATGTCTCTTCTTTATTAATAATGACAACATTTAAGTCAGAAAAAAACACGTTAGTAAAAGTCACAAGTTTTGAGAGTAAAATCTTGATTTTTGCATCAAATAAATTAAATTAAATCCTGGTGAGACCAGATCTGACTGAGACTCCTGAAAGTCTCTGACTGTCTCTGGAGCTGTTGTGTTTATTCCTGTTGAATACTGTTTTCCTCTTTTATTTATTTATTTATTTATTTTTTTTACACCTTCACCTGCTTCACTCTGATGACGTGTTACAGGTGGACGTTTTAAAAGCAGCAGCCGTTTCTCTGGTTTTATATCGAACCATTTTCTCTGTCGCCATATGCTTTATTGCTGCTGGAGGAGCAGAGTGGAGGCTGTGAGGTAATAGTGCGCACGAGGGTGGTGGGTGGTGGAGAGACAAAGGGAACGGGAGAGAGAGAGAGAGAGAGAGAGAGAGAGCGAGCGGGGATATAGGACGGGCATCACACGGAGGTTTGGCTGCAGACTGGTCGGGATCCCTTTCGCCGCCTCGGTCGCTTCAGACGCATCAGGTCAGTAAAAAACAAACGCACCGTGCGCCAAATGATCACAGAGACCGCGGTGGAGGGGGGGGGGGGCTCGGTCATGTTTCTGTGTTGTGTGTTTCTTGGAGGAGGAGGTTTGCTTTTTTTTTTTTTTTAGCGCTGTGAAGATGAAGATGTGGAGCGCGAGGGTGCGCACAGGATTTTAGGCGTGAGCTGCCGGTGTGTGTGTGTGTGTGTGTGTGTGTGTGTGAAGGGGTGTTGCGTGTGAAGATGAAGACACGTTCATCCAGGCGGCGGGCGGTCTGCAGGCAGCAGGTATCAGTCAGCTTCACCTGGCTGGATGTAGCTTTAATGCAACATGCGGAAACAGCCTGAAGGCGCGGGAGACACGCGCTCTGTGCAGAAATCCCGCTTTTATGTTTCAGGTTTTGACACTCTCTGTAGATGACCCCCGCTCCCTCCCCTCCCCTCCTGCACGGTGTTATCTATCTGTTGAACCAGGTGAAGGCGGATCTTCTTGTCTCTTTTACCGCCATATCTCGCCTGTAGGTGCGAATGATGAGGCAGGGAGGAGGAAGAGCAGGAGGAGGAAGAGGAGGCTGCAGCTGAGAGGGGGGGGGGGGGGGGGGGTTCAGTGAAAATGAGTGATGAGGATTTTGCAGACCCCGCGCTGCTGAGTGAGGAGGGCCTGGCCGGCTCCGGTCCTCCGCAGTGCCGTCACCAGCACCGAGCAGCAGCTTCTCTGCTGGTGATGGATGGTGGAGAGTCTGAATTATTTATAGCTGCCAGTGCATTGATTAGCTTTATGTAATGCTGTGTGTGTGTGTGTGTGTGTGTGTGTGTGTGTGTGTGTGTGTGTGTGTGTGTGTGTGTGTGTGTGTGTGAAGGCAGTGTTTGGGTATGTGTGTGCATCAAGACAGTTTGAAATACAAGGTGCAAGTCTCTGCACGCTCCTGCACACGCATGTCAAAAAGCTAGTGTTTGAGATGTGGTGTATGTGTGTGTGTGTGTGTGTGTGTGTGTGTGTGTGTGAATGGGTGTGAGATGCTAGTAGCTTCTCGTAGCCAATCACACGCAGAGAGAGAACTGAGCCATTGTAAACCATAGAGCAGCTCGATTGATTCATTTAAAGGAAAATCCCTGTAGAATAACACTGGAGATGGACTTTGTGTTTTGGAGTTTGGTGTAGATTTCTTCGCCCTGTGGAGAACTGGGTGGATGTTAATACGACTTGGCTCCATGTCCAAATATTTAACAGCTTCCTGCTTCAGTTAATTAATGGTAAACGTAATGTTTTGATGAAGGAGGTCGAGAGCATTAAGAGAACATTATGAGCTACTGACTGTTTCACGTTTTGGTGAAACAACCAAATGAGATTCTGTGTTTTCTGCTCATCTAACGAATCAAATGCCTGACGAGTAACGCTTCGTCACACTGATGCAAACATCCTGTAAATCCAGTGTCGGCGTGAAACAGTCCTGCCGGCCCACTGTGACCTAAAGGCTTCAACATGCTCCATATTACACAGCTGATGGATCTTGCGTGGCGTGTGAGTGGAGAGCTCTGACATCTGCAGTGATGTTATGAAAATCACATTTTTGAATTTAGCAAATAATTCCGTTTTCACTTCAGCCGCCGAGTCTCGGATCTCAGATATCGGAGCTTTACACCTGGACATGAACGCACCAAACCAGAGAGAGTTTTAACAAGAAACCAGTTTAGTTTATTGACATTTCCCTGCAAGTCTGACCAAAAAATAATATTTTGTTTTATTTTATTCATACACGTTATCGATTATTGTCTTGAATAATGATTTATTAATGTTTTGTCTATAAAATGTCAGAGAAAAGTGAAAAATGTCTCTTATAATTCCCCCACTGCTGGTTTGATTGATTTAACCAAGTGTCCAAAAGGATATTCATTTTATTAAATGACAGACAAACATGAAAACTACATTTTTAGAAGGTGGAGCGAGAAAATACGTTTTATTTCTGCTTGAAACATGACGACAACTAAATCAATTATCAAAATAGTCGCCACTTAATTGTCGACTTTTTCCACTTTTTTGACTGATAATCAGTCATGAGTCTCTCTGACTGACAGATCTTTATTACCCATATAAACTCCTAATAATCATACAGCGCTCACAAAATCACAAAATACATGAATCACTAGCAGCTCAGTCACTAGAGAAACACAACAGTAACTATAACAACAGCATGGAAATGGTGAGAGAAACCAGAAGAGTGCTTGTTATTGTTCCTGCGGGCGGTTAGAAAACTAAAGCACGTGTAAGAGCTTCCTGTCGTTTATAATGCGACGCTGAATCTCTCGAGTCTGATGTTTGACTGACAGCGGCACAGAGGGATTCGCCCTGGTGCGTTGGCCTTCTCACTCCGTCTCCCTGCTGTTGCCATAAACAGACCCCTGTGCATGTGAAGTTGTCGCCGCACTGATACGCCATTAGCTCTCGTTAGTCATCCGGACTGCGCAGCGGCTAAACGAGCCGAGAGGAAACTCCCTGATTCGTCTCCTCGTTCCAGACCGAATGTAGTCTCTGTAGATCGGCTGCGTCCGTCGCAGCGGCATCTTGAATCCGACAGTGTGGTAGCATCTTTGTCAGACTGTTGAGTTTTACATGAACAAATTTACATTCTGTGTTCTTCTGATCTTAACTCTCTGAGACCAGATTTTAATCTTCTGAAACTAGTGCAGCGCCTGTTGGAAACGTGCCTGTCGCTAGGCGCTGATTGCTCGGCCTGCGTTGGCCCTTGTGGCCTCAGATCCACGCGCCCAAACGACGGAGTCTGAAGTCGATCAGATGACGATCAACAGTTGAGTTGAGAGTTCAGTTGAGAAAGTGAAAGGACAGACAGACGGTAAGAGCTGGACGTTTAAAGTTGGACATTTTAACATGGGAGTCTATGGGGATTGACTCGCTGCTGGAGCCAGACTCTAGTGGTCGTTAGAAGAACTGCAGCATTTAGCACTCCAGTGTCGGGTTCATGTTTCAGCCCCGGAGGTCGCTGCTTCGTCGTGACTGATGAGACCCAATCAGGCGGCGAGAGGCTGGTGTCTACGTCTCAGTTTCAGCGCGTCCAGACTACAACTCAACCCCAGACAAACTCAAACTAAAACTGGTCCAGCAGCGTTTCCAGAAGTCTCTGATTTAAAACTGTGTGGACACCAGGCGTAAACTCGTGTCAGTGTCTCAGTGTCTACATTTGTGTCATCTATATCAGTATTTTGTCTTAAGGGGACAGTTCATGAACGCAGCATTTGGGAAAGTATGAAGTGAAGTTACCAACATGAGAAGCATAAGTCGATGAGAGGCTCTAAATGTCAGCTAACACCCACCAAACAGGAACAAGCGTCTGAAGCATCTATTTACATGCTGATAATATCAAACTGTGTGTGTGTGTGTGTGAGCTGGAGTCTCACCACAGGAGCGACTGTACGTCAGAGAGAATTCATAAAAGATGCATTATTTATAACCAACTGTGCACTGAAATACCTTCAATTAGGCGGCCTGGAGCTCTTTATTCAGCATTAATCTCACAGTTTTCCCGCTGTGAGACCTCTCACTACTCTCTGACTCCATGTTTATGTGACTTACTCTAAAGGTTTAGTCTGAAGAAAGAAAACACTGTTTCAGTCGTCTTGACGACGGATTTACTGTTTTATTTATTCGACGTCTTTTAGTCTTGCTGTCGGCTCGTGGCGATATGAAAAATTTAAACCCTCATCTATTATCCAAAAATTATAACATGGGTGCAGCCAGGATATGAGGGGGGTCGCTCAGGAAATGCTAAGCCTCATGGGAAAGTGAGTCGTAGAATTGCAGACAGGCTTCAGGCTCCTGGTCCGGTGTCTCTCTGCCGGTTCTTGGTTGATTCGTTTTCACCGCTGTGGGTCACTCAGGGTCACAGAGCTGAAATACGAGAAGCTTCAGCAGAGACTCACAGATGTAAAAGATGAGACACAACGACAGGAAGAACAATTAAACAACAACATGACCGTGTGGAAGAAAAGGTGCTGCTGATTATACGACCGTCTTTCACTGTGATTATTAGCTCTAATAATAATAATAATGATGATGAACTTTATTTGTATAGCACCTTTCATGTTTTGTGAGGTCACCATGACCTTTGACCTTTGAGTCCAAATGAATATTTCTGCCAAATTATAAGAAGTTCTGAAGTTGTGTTGCTGAGATATCGTGTCCATGAGAATGGGACGGACGTGGAGAAATAATAATGTAAAAACAGATGAAACAATAACAAAACAAAAACAGAAATTCTGCTTCTTTAAGCGTTGGTATCAATAATCCAATATTATAATATATGATAATAAAACCCTGATAGCACCGTTCTGCTGCCTAATGAGCACTTTTTTCTTGTACTATTACTTCAGCACAAATTAAACACAGGCCTTTTTTTAATCGTCCACGTGACCGCAGACCTCCCGGCTGGTTTTGGTTCGATGGCATTTACCTTAGCTCCTCCCTCAGTGACTTCACCGCCACATAACCCTGAACGTCTCCTCGTGTTGTTTCCCAGTTTGACCCGGACACGCGTAAACACCCTGGTCACGGTCCTGACCTCTGAGGCTGTTACTTAACCCAGCGGTGGCGCTGTCAGAGCGGACCGATAGCATCTGGACGGAGAGTTTAATCTTGTTGAAATGTTATGCAGATAAAGCGATGCGAGCCTCGCGCTGCGCTCTGAGGAGGGTCAGCCGCCGCCAGCGCCGCCTTATCTTCCCGCCACAGCCCGAGTCTGAGAACCAGCAGGAGAGCGAGCCCGACACGACCTTCGGACGGAGTCACATGATCTGGACAAGAATGAATAAAGAAGTTCAGGACACTTAACTCTAAACAAATCTGTAGAAACGAGGACTGACTCGCGTCGGTCCTCACAAAGACAGAAGAACAGGAGCACAAACAGTCACAATCAGGCGCAAGTGTGGAGACAGTTTAGCCTCAAAACTCTCAATTACTGTTTACAGAGTGAGTCAACAGCTCATAT